AGGGTTTGCTTTGAGTTGATTTTTCTTCTTCCACTTGAGCCTTTGAAACTGATTTGGCTTCATCCCCTTGTGCCTTTGAACCTGATTTGGCCTTTGACGCTTGAGCTTCCTTGTTTTGAGATTTCGAAACCATTTTTAATTAATCTGCAAGGAAAACAACGTCGGTTATTAAAAAGAAACGACGTAATAATAACAAAACAACGACAGTAACACTAAAACAACGACGTCCTATTAAACAGTCTCTTAGACCATGTATGGAAATAAGACGACGGTTTTATATCTTTCATGACGTAAATGTGTATACACTACGTCGGTTACTCATAAGAACCCACGTGGTTTAAAATTTACAAAGACAAACACAAAACGATTGTTCTTCTCCCACAAGATGACGGTTTTATCTTGTTTCCGACGTATTAATTGTCACACCATGATGGTTTTTAACCACCGTCGTGTGTCCATTCTATCGTCGAAAACAAGACAGAACTGTCGTCTTTTGGCGTCGTGAGAGTATCGACTTATGTATTTAATAAAAATCAGTGAAAGATTTCCTCAATTTGTCAAAATCTTGTTTCCAGACAACGACGGAATTCAAATGAAATGTAAAAAAAGGGAAAAGAGTGAGAAAAAACCTTTGCCGTGCAAAGAAAGTTTCCTTCCGACGAAGACGAAGACGAAGATGGTGATTTGGAGATTCAGACGAAGATTCAGACGATGATGCTGCTTTTGGGAAATGAGAGGGAAACTACGATACTTTATCGGTGAGAGAAAACCGTAGAATATTAGGTCAGGTGACGAAAAGTTTATATATTTTCCCAGAGTTCAATACAACGACGTTTTTATTACAAAACCGACGTATTATTTAGTTATAACGACGGTAAATAATTCATAACTGACGTGGTTATCACAACTGCCGAACGACTTTTGGAATTCCGATGTGGTTATGACGGCGCTTTTTTATCTAAACTGACGTTGTACTTCGAAATTCAACGACTGTGTATTTTAATAAACCGACGTGGTTACTTTGGGGTTCTGAAAACGACGTCGTTCTCTTTTTAATACGCGCCAAATGACTTTTGGATTTCCGATGTAGTTTGATAAGTCCATAAAATTACATATTTATGTACTCTTTATACTTAGTTTTTGTAGGAGAATTCGGTTTAAAAAGGACCTATTACTTTATTTTCTCAATTTTCAGCTTTCCAGAGCAAGTAATTTGTTTTCAATGGAAATACGACTTTTTGGTGGAGTTTTAGTACAAGACCAATTGGAGATGAAAGCTGAGATCTTGAAGATGATTGTGGAATTTTTCTAGAATTTTCGGAGCAGCCAATGAGAGCAGTCTTTGAAGTTAAGTCAGCATAGGATGCAATCCCGTCAAAACTGTGCTACTGTGGAAGAATGACCATTTGAAGACTTTCCTGATTTTTCCTCAAGGCGTGCGATATATGGATGGAAAGATAAGACAAAAATCTACAATTTACATATTTTTCCCGATTGTTTTTGGAGGAGGAACAGCCCCAAACGTGCAAGCAAAATGACTGACATGTTATCCCAGTCCAAGTAGGAAGAGGAGTCAAGTACTTACCCATTTTGGATTTATGTTTTAATTAGGTTTTTCTTTATTATTGGGCTGCTGTAAAAGCCCAGCTAGGGTAAGAATAGATGTGGGGTGTCTTATTTAAGCATGAGAAACAACTCCTTAGAGGATGAAAAAGACGCTAGGAGAAATTGGAGACGCCGGAAGAGTACCGCAATTGGCTAAGTTTTATTGTTTCTTCCTTATGTTTTTGTTTATGTCGAATTCTAAGATTATGTGTAACTAATTTCCTTTTGCTAGGGCATGATGTAGCCCTAGTATGATAATCTAGTTTTCTTATTTTACCTATCTATTGATTGCCGTTTGATGTTGGATTCTTAATCACTGTGCTTAATAACTTGGTTGATTATCTTGATGCTTGATCACCATCTAGACTTTTAATTGAGTAATCAGATGCAAATTAGAGTAAATACCATACTTAATTTGAGGCTTGCTTCATGTGATTAGGATTTGTAATTCGTCTAGGGTAAATACCATACTCCTAGGGTTTACATTGTTCAAGGTTTTCACTGATCTTAATGAGTTTCTATGTGTTGATATTTGACCTAAATACCATAGGCGAATTGCATGTAGGAATATACGAGTTAGCCTAAATACCATAGGTAATTCATAAAAAAGGAAAACTAAGCGGCGACATCAAATGGTTAGTTAATAGGTAGGTGAATAAGAGGCTAGATCGGATTACTAGTGGTGAATTCATTGTCCTAGTGCTTTTATCAATTTGAATTTCTCATCCTCGTGTTTCGTGACTTTCTGCTTATTTTGTCTTTTAATTTCGTTGTTAATTAAATCATTCTTTCAAAAACCCCTTTTGTGTTTACGTGAGTATGCTACGTGTTTAATTTCTTGTTTATATAATTAGAGTAGTTAGAGTATTTTGTGAAGGAAATTAGGTTAGACTAATTGGAAGTTGAACTCAATCCTCGTGGGAATGACCTCGTATTTGGCATGCTATATTACGATTGACCTTGTGCACTTGCGAGTATAATTTGTGTTTAGACTAATCTTTATAATCTCAATTTTTCAGGTTGTCTAAAATTCACAACATAGTTATGACGGCGCTTGTTTATCTAAACTGACGTTGATTATCCAAATATGACGTCGCTATGTATATTAGAACCGACGTGGATATTTACGATAATTTGTTTAAATATGATTTTTTCACGCGTTTTTTAACTCTCAGTTTTCAATTAGGGTTCCAACTTCTTCTTGCCCATTGCTCTGTCTCATCAAATTCTAAAAAATTGTCTTTCTGAAAGCAAATGGATTTGCAGAATGATTCCTCACAAGACCAAGCATGGGTTTGCAGAATGATTCCTCACAAGACCAAGCATGGGTTTGCAGCCGCACTTACTTGTTTGAAGGCATACGAGGGTGTTCCTGATGCTCCTTATGATAAGATAAAGAGAATCATTCCTGATGCTCTAAAGTGAGCTTTTAACACTTTGTTGATTTTGATTTTCTGAAATTATTAGATATTCATTTGTGGCTGTGCAGGAGCTTGAGAACAAGAGGAAGGAGAGGGCCCAGCTTGCATATGAGAGGAAGAAACAGTTGAACAAGCTGAGGGTGAAGGCAGAAAAGAAACCACGATGTATGTGCCTAATTTCTGTACATATATTGTGTAAATATTGATCAATATTTAACACGAAGAGATTTGCCTTTTAAGATGAAAATGTTGTTGAGGATTGAGAATTATATTTTGTTTTGTGTTAAGAAAGATATTACCAAAATAAAAGAAAAATTAATTAATTTTAAAAAGCTATAACAATACAACGGCGGTTTACAGAGAAGGCAGACATATAAATAGAAAAAATACGACAGTAATTTGAACTTAGGACATGGTAAATAAATACGACAGTAGGTTTGTAGGTACCGTCGTAGTAAACTCCAAAATAATAAGTCAATAAATTAATCTCTCGCGTCATGGTATATTATTTAACACGTCGTTTTTTTGTAATATACCGACGTGGATTCCATTACATTATACGACGTGGATTCCATACAATTATACGACGTGGATTCCATTAAAGAATAACCGACGTGGTTTATTAAATTACACGGCAACATAAACCATTTCAACAGCTTCCCAAATATGCTCCTTCATATCCTTAGGCAATTGAGTCCATTTATTGTCCAGTCTTCCTCTCTCACATACACACATACATCATCACTCTCTCTCACATCTCAAAGACAATAATTTGGATGTTAATGATGTATGCGTTTTGGTGTATCTCAAAGACACCAAAACGCACACATCATTAACTTTCAAAACATTGTCTTTCTCAAAGTTTGCAGTAGTCAGTTCAGTTCTGGTTTCTTTTTGGATTTTGTGTATTTAAAATATTGTCTTTCTCACTTTGGTGGTTCGATTATGATCAGGATCCAAAGATCTTAAAGGTAAGATATCATACCTCTTGGGATCTCATTTTAATTTTCGTAGGCTACCAAAATTAAAAATTAATTAAATCTTAAAAAGAAATAAAAATTAAGACGGCGGTTTACAAAGAAGGCACCGTCGTAGTATACAGACGTGGATTCCATTATATTATACGACGCGGATTAAGAACAGTTGGTCGTGTTTAGTTAGGAGTTAGCACGGCAGGTTTTTTGGTGAACTGTCGTCTTTATTTTCTACGTCGGTGGATTCATACCTGCTGTCGTCGTTTTTTGGTCAAATTTTTAATCTGAAGAAACCTTTTTAAAAAAACGACGCTTTTTTATTTGTATGCGTCGTCTTTTAAAAATATTCAACAGTAAGTCACTTATCCACGACGAGTTTTTTTTATACCGTCGTCGTTTTAAATACAACGACCGTTTTATGTTCTGTCGTCGTCCTTTTCTGGTCGTCTTTTTCTCTTTTTGTAGTAGTGTTTAATTTGTTATTCTACTTTTGCTTTATTACTTTTTCTTTTTTAAATTTTATAACTATGGGCTGGTATAACTTGACTTTTCTTTTCCAGAACGATGGAAGTTAGTTTGTTACTTGATTAAGCAAGGTACGTGATGCTAAAGAAAAGAAAAAAAGGAAATAGCAAGGTGATATTGGGATTGATATCAAATATTACTCGCTATATATAGAGTAGTGGAGAGCGCGTGGTTATATAAAGAAAGCAACGAATTGAGTCGAAAAATAATATAGCTAGAATGGAGGATGAGGAGATGGAGGAGATGAAGGAGATGGAGGAGATGAAGGAGATGGAGGAGGTTTATAAAGGAGAGGCATTGAGTAAGTGCCAAGAGCCATATAAATGGCCTGTAAGAATTTGGCCTTTAGCTTTCTGGTTTCTCTGATTGAAAAAACAGAACAAATAAACCTTTCTGGTAAAAAAGTATGCAGAGGAGAAAATGAAACTCAGAGAGAATAATAAAGTTTCAGTATATTTTCTTGTGTAGCATCAGAGCCAAAACACAGACTATATGAATGACACAAGCTGCCAAAAACAGATCCTAAGAAATCTAGGACACCAGGATTCATCTCCAACCTTTCAAGGTCATTGGAGGCTACGATTCTTACACCTAGGCTAGATATCTTTTCTGTAGATAGGACTAAGACAGCTAAGAATGACAGCTGTAGAGTTTCCCAAAATAGTAAGAAAACTAGTCGTTGGACATAACCTATAACGGCTATTACTATAAAAGAAAAGTTCTTCAGCTCCTTCAATTTCTTCAATTTCTTCATCCTCTTCATTGTCAATCTGCAGGATTAACATCTGCAGCTTGATTCGAGGCTAGTATGTAGCTTAACTCTCAACAACCTCTCCTAAGCTGCTTACTGGTTTAACTCCAAGCTTCAACCTCAAGTAATTGAATCGATCTTTGGGCAGAGCTTTTGTAAAAATATCTGCCAACTGTTCTTCACTTATGCAGAACTTCATGTCAATCACCCCTTCTTGTAAAGCTTCCCTTATGAAATGATACCTTCGGTTTATGTGTCTTGTTCTCTGATGGAAAACTGGATTTTTGACCATTGATATTGCTGACATGTTGTCACAAAACAATGGCGTTGCATCAGATTGCATTTCACCAAATCATCCAACACAAACCTTAGCCAGATAGCTTGAGTTGTTGCCTCAGCTGCTGAAACATATTCAGCTTCTGCAGTTGACAATGCAACTGTGTTTTGCTTGACTAAAGCCCATGAAAAAGCTCCACTACCAAAACTGAATGCATATCCAGATGTGCTTCTACTGTCATCTTCACTGCCAGCCCAATCAGAGTCACAAAAACCAATCAGAACAGCATTCTTGTCCCTTGTAAATTCAATGCCATAGCTGAGAGTGCCTTGAACGTATCTGAGAACCCTTTTGGCAATTCCCATGTGCTTCTTTGTGGGGCTATGCATGAATCTTGATAACAGACTAGCTGCAAACATTATATCAGGCCTGGTTGCAGTTAAATATAACAAGCTGCCAACAATTTTTCTAAACAAACCTTCATCAGACAACTCACTTCCATCAACTTTCTTCAGTTTCTCACCTGTGGGTAGAGGAATTGTTGTTGACTTACAATCCTTGAGGCCAAACTTCACAAGCAAGGACTTTGCATACTTGCTTTGATGAATAAATACCCCTTTATCAGTTTGTAGAACTCCCATTCCCAAGAAGTGGTGCAAGAGTCCTAAATCAGTCATTTCATACTTTTGCATCATGTCCCTTTTGAACTCACTAAGCAATGCATTACTACTTCCAGTATAAACTATATCATCAACATATATAGAGACAATGATTGGTTTCCCTTCTTCATCAGTTCTGGTATATAAAGTGGCCTCACTAGTGCTTCTTTGAAACTTGCAGCTAGTGAGATAAGTATCAATCTCACTGTACCAGGCTCTGGGAGCCTGTTTCAAACCATAGAGAGCCTTCCTTAGCTTATAAACCTTATGACTAGCTTTTTTCACTTCAAACCCCTCTAGTTGCTCAGTATAAACCTCCTCCTCAAGTAATCCATTCAAGAAGGCTGACTTAATGTCTAATTGGAACAACTTCCAACCTTTTTGTGCTGCAAGTGCAATCAAGGTTCTAATTGTATCTAACCTTGCCATAGGGCAAAGGTTTCATTATAGTCAATACCAGGTTTCTGAGCATACCCTTTAGCTACAAGCCTAGCCTTGTTTTTTGAACTGTTCCATCCAGATTCAGCTTGGTTTTGAACACCCATTTGACTCCTATGACTGGTTTATCTGTAGGCCTTTGCACCAGCTCCCAAGTTCCATTCTTTTCAATAGTTTCAATCTCAGCATCCATTGCTTCCTTCCATGCTTTGTCTTCAATAGATTCATAATAAGTTTCAGGTTCAATAATGGTCATGTGACATCTTGCATAGATGTCCTCCAAGCTTCTCAGCCTTACTGGTGTATTGCTTGGAGTTGAACCTTGACTAGTACCACTGCCATTGCTCTCAGGGACATGTTCATCATCTGAGATTAATTGATTTAGATTTGGGGAATCAATGCTGTGAGTTTCATGAGAGATTTCTTCTTCTTCAGTTATCTCAGAATTTCCATTTTCTAAGATGAGAGGCATGGAGACAGTTTCAACTTGCTTGCTTTCCCAATTCCAGGATTTGTTCTCATAAAAAACAACACTTCTTGAGAGTATTATCTTCTCAGTTTGAAGATTATAAATCCTGTAACCCTTCTCACAGCTGCCATAACCCATAAAGATTCCTTTGCTTGCTTTGTCATCAAACTTCTGTCTAAGATTTGATGGAATGTGACTATAACAGATGCTTCCAAACACTCTTAAGTGTATTACACCAGGTTTTCTTCCTGTGAAAGCTTCAAATGGTGTTTTGTCTGTAACTGTAGTGGTATAGCACCTATTTTGCATATACACAGCAGTACCAACTGCTTCAGCCCAGAACTTTACAGGAATTTTCTTCTCAGTCATCATTGATCTTGCCATTTCACATATGGTTCTGTTTCTTCTCTCAGCAACCCCATTTTGCTGAGGTGAGTAAGCAATAGTCAGTTGCCTCTCCACGCCAAGATCACTGCAATACTCAAGGAATTCATGTGAAGTGTATTCTCCACCTCTGTCACTTCTTAGTTTCTTTAAATTGAATCCACTTTGTAGCTCAACAAATGCTTTGAACTTTTTGAACACACTTATCACACTTGACTTGTTTCTTAGAAAATATACCCAACACATTCTTGAATAGTCATCAATGAATGTGATGAAGTATTTATTTCCTCCAATGGACTCATTTTGCATTGGACCACATACATCTGTGTGTATCAACTCAAGTGGATTGTTGGCTCTCCAAGGCTTCTCATTCTCAAATGGTTCTCTGTGGCTTTTACCATACACACAGCCTTCACATACTCCTTCCTTTTCTGAGAAATCAGGCAAGCCTAGCACCATTTGTGTTTGCTGCATTTTTTTCATGCTTGCAAAGTTCAAATGCCCCAATCTTCTATGCCAAACCCATGGATCTTCTTGTACTGCTGCTTTCATTGCCATTGAGCAGATAGATTCCATAGATAATGGAAAACATCTATTTCCAGCCATTTCAACTTTGGCAACAACATTATCAAGGTTGCTGTCGTCACATATTAATGCATGATTTCCTCCAAATAGAATGTAGTACCCATGCTCCAGCATTTGTCCTATGCTCAACAAATTCTCTGTAAGACCCGTGTCTTGGGGAAACAAGAACGGTGAGCAATCCCACATCGCTCGGGGAGGGAAAGGTGAAGTGCTTAAATGTGTGGGCACTTCTTTTCCTAGCACGACGCCTTTTGAGAGCTCACTAGCTTCGGAGTCGTAGAAACTCCGAAGTTAAGCAAGTTGAGGGCGAGAGCAATCCCAGGATGGGTGACCCACTGGGAAGTTGGTTGTGAGCTCCCATAAACAAAACCGTGAGGGCCAGAGAGGGGGGGCCCAAAGCGGACAATATCGTGCTACGGCAGAGCCGATCCCGGGATGTGACAATTTGGTATCAAAGCTGGACCCCGATCGGAAGTCTGCCAGCGAGGACGCTGGGCCCTAAGGGGGGTGGATTATAAGACCCGTGTCTTGGGGAAACAAGAACGGTGAGCAATCCCACATCGCTCGGGGAGGGAAAGGTGAAGTGCTTAAATGTGTGGGCACTTCTCTTCCTAGCACGAGGCCTTTTGGGAGCTCACTGGCTACGGAGTCGTAGAAACTCCAAAGTTAAACAAGTTGGGGGCTAGAGCAATCCCAAGATGGGTGACCCACTGGGAAGTTGCTCATGAGCTCCCTGAAACAAAACCGTGAGGGCAGAGAGGGGGGCCCAAAGCGGACAATATCGTGCTAGGGGAGTCGGGTCGTGACAAAATGGTATCAGAGATGGACCCCGACCGGAAGTGTGCCAGCGAGGACGCTGGGCCCCAAGGGGGGTGGATTGTAAGACCCGTGTCTTGAGGAAACAAGAACGGTGAGCAATCCCACATCGCTCGGGGAGGGAAAGGTGAAGTGCTTAAATGTGCGGGCACTTCTCTTCCTAGCACGAGGCCTTTTGGAAGCTCACTGGCTTCGAAGTCATAGAAACTCCGAAGTTAAGCGAGTTGAGGGCGAGAGCAATCCCAGGATGGGTGACCCACTGGGAAGTTGGTCGTGAGCTCACAGAAACAAAACCGTGAGGGCCAGAGAGGAGGGGCCCAAAGCAGACAATATCGTGCTACGGCGGAGCCGATCCCGGTTTGTGACATTCTCATTCAGACCAGGGACTAGCAGCACTTCATTTATGTATCTTCTCCCTTTTCTTGTCTCAACTACAAGTGTCCCTTTTCCTGTGGCTTGAACAAGATCACCAGTGCCCATTTTCACTTTGCAGGTCACTGACATATCAAGATTGATCAATAAAGACTCTTGAGAGGTCATGTGGTTGCTGCAAGCACTGTCAACAAACCACACAGACTTGCTTGATGCAATTGAACTTGCATGATAAGCATAGAACATTGTTCCTGTGGTCACCTCTTCCTCCTTTGCACAGTTTGCAACTTGTTTACCATTCACAGTCCTTAGTTAAATGACCAAATCGACTGCACTTGCCACACTTGGGTTTTCCTTTATATCTGCATATACCAAAATGGTATTTCTGGCACACTTGGCACTGTGGTTTCACACCACCTTGACTGCTACTTCCTTGCTTGTTTTGTGAATTGAAATTGTTGTTCCAATTCCCTCCAGAGCCATTATTGTTGTTAAAGTTTCCACCTTGAGACCAATTTGAACCCTTTTTGTTTTGTCCTTGCCATTTTTCATTTGGCTTTCCCTGAGAACTTTTGTTAGCTCCAGAAGCTTGATTATTTCCAACTCTGAGACTGCTAAAAGCTTTCTTAGTTCTTGCCAACTTATCCCTTTCATCATGCAAATCTTCTCTCTTATCATAGACTTTGACAGATGCAAGAATTTCTTCAACTCTAATAGTTTCAAGGTCTCTGGTTTCTTCAATGATTGACACTATGGACTTGTACCTCCTACTTATACTCATCAACAATTTTTGGACAATCCTTTTCTTTGTTACATCTTCTCCTAGAGATTTCAGGTTGTTTACAATTTCAAAAAATCGAGCCAAGTAGTCATCCAGAGAGTCAACATCATTCATTCTCAAGTATTCAAAATCAGCTCTAATAGCTTGTAATTTCACAGCTATTACCTTTTTATCTCCTCTGAACTCTCTTCTCAGAATTTCCCAAACACCTTTTGCAGTCTTCTCATTTCTGATGCGAGGAAAGAGTTCATCTGTTAGTGCTCCTTGAATAAGGCTCAAAGCCTTGGCATTTTTGATCTTATCTTCTTTGGAGATAGTAGGTGCTTCCACTGGGATTTGCACAGTCTCACCTTCTTCAACTTCAGAGCCTTTTTCCTCCTCAATAATCAGCTGTGGATGTACTCCAATCTCTACTGCGTCCCATAGATCATATGCTATGAGAATAGTCTCCATTTTTACTGACCAAAAATCATAGTTTGCACCATTAAACTGTGGAGTTCGTAAATCTCCACCTGCAGAACCTGATCCCACCATTTTTATGTGAGTCTCAGTGAACCACACAATAAAAGAGCAACCTTTATCCCTTTTAGAGATTTCAGGAAACCCCCCTTTCTCACAGCTCACGCCCCTTCTATGAAATTAGACCAGGAGCTCTGATACCATGTAAGAATTTGGCCTTTAGCTTTCTGGTTTCTCTGATTGAAAAAACAGAACAAATAAACCTTTTTGGTAAAAAATGTATCCAGAGGAGAAAAAGAAACTCATAGAGAATAATAAAGTTTCAGTATATTTTCTTGTGTAGCATCAGAGCCAAAACACAGACTATATGAATGACACAAGCTGCCAAAAACAGATCCTAAGAAATCTAGGACACCAGGATACATCTCCAGCCTTTCAAGGTCATTGGAGGCTACGATTCTTACACCTAGGCTAGATATCTTTTCTGTAGATAGGACTAAGACAACTAAGAATGACAGCTGTAGAGTTTCCCAAAATAGTAAGAAAACTAGCCGTTGGACATAACCTATAACGGCTATTACTATAAAAGAAAAGTTCTTCAGCTCATTCGATTTCTTCATCCTCTTCACTGTCAATCTGCAGGATTAACATCTGCAGCTTGATTCGAGGCTAGTATGCAGCTTAACTCTCAACATGGGCCATGTACGGAGAATGGGAACGCCTAAAAGAATTCTACAAGAAAGATCCAAAGGAAGTACTTGGCCAATTGACAACGAACAACGACACTGTACTACATGTCGTAGCCGTTGCCGGACAAAACGACGTGCTTAAGTTTTTGATTGATCTAATACGAGAACTACCTGGGAAATTATAGGCTATGCGTTGACAATCGAGAACAGCTATGGAAATACCACTCTGCATGAGGTGGCTGCGTCTGGAAATCTGGAGGCAGCAATGCTCTTGATGAGAGAGGAGAACAAAGGTATGCTAGCGTTTGAGAACAGGTTAGGAGAGACCCCACTCTACAGGGCTGCTGCTTTCGGTCACACAAACTTGGTCAAATATTTGGCTTCCCAAGTGAAGCAGCAGCAGCAGGATATAGAGCAGTAGCAGGAGAAGGCTATGGAGCACCACTTCAACAGAAACCATGATAAAATGTCCATTCTTCAGATCGCAGTCATTAGCCAACATTTTGCTCTCTCTCTCTCTCTCTCTCTCTCTCTCTCCCCTCTTTGACAGTTGCATTATTAGTTATATATGTTAGTTATCTATGAAATATAGCTGTGAATTAAGATTAATTCTTGTCTGAATGTGTGGTTCGAATATATAATCTTGCCAAATAAAATTAGTCTAATATTTTTTTTATTTGACTTTATTATTACTAACACGGTTTTCCTTCAATGCAGAGACTGCTCTTTGGTTACTAAAAGAGTACTCATTTCTTGCGAATAAAAAGGGAAGCAATAAACTCACAAGTCTTCAATTGCTAGCCCAAATGCCATCTTGCCTTCGAACCCAAATTTCTCAAAAGCATATGGAAGATGCTCGTTTATAAATGTACCATCTACTCTACTGCTACTACTAAAATTAGATATAAACTCACAAATTCAATTTAGGAACAACCTATTTATTATTTTTGAGATCATTTTTGCTTACCACTTTAACTCAAGGTGTATCCTTACCACAAAAATAGTGCCCCCTTTATTTATCCAAGGCTTTCTAATGTGATAATGCTGATCTTTGTGCTCCCTTTATTGTTCAGGGATTTGCCCTTCTACTGATGACTTGTTGAGCAGGATCGATCACACTTCCCAGTCTAGTTGTTCAAAGAATATTACAAGTAACTAATCAAACTTTCAAAGTTATATATATATGGAATGTCATCCTAGCATAAAATCTTTAAAACAACTTATTTTGTTTTATATATATTCTAATATAGTAAATTATGATCATACATACTCTAATATACCTACAAAGATGTTCATAACTTAGTATCGATATACCTACCAAATGTATATGTTTTTCCAAAGTAAAATTAAATGTTTGAAGAGCCAAAGTCAACTTACCAGTCCTGAAGAGAGAGAAAGAGATTGCAACTTTGATGACTAAGGTTGAAGAGATTTTTTCTAATGTGGTTCACCTATTTTAGAATTCCAAAGTTATTGAAGAGGCTGTTGGAGATGCTTTTATGTTTTAGGGGCATATCTGGAGCAACAAAATAATTAAATAAATAAATAAAATAACATGTAAACATCAATAAATCAAAAAAGGCATATAATCTTATGTGGCACAAAAGTCAAAGGACTTGGATCAACAACAACTTTTGCGTGGATTGCACTCAACATCTCTCATCAGAATTGGACTTATGCCAAATTTTCTATTATAAGAATAACCTATACCTTCACACAAGTCTACATGTGTATAAATATAAAAGGAATGGAAGCATATCAGAAAAACAAGATGTGCAGAGTGGCGCTGGCAGGTATTGAAGCATAGGGTAGGGGTTTGAATCCCCCTGAGTGCAACTCCAATTCTCCAATTTTTGGCAAGGTGCTGAGTAGATTAGTGGCTCATGCATGAAAGTATCAGATATCGAAAATAATCGACGAAAATTTTGAAAAAAAAAATCACGGTAAACAAATAGTAAAAGTACAACTATTTTTCTGGCATGCAGGGGCGGAGCTAAAATTGTAAAGTTGGGGGGCTGAAGTAAAAAATACGAGTATATAAAACACTATGTATTGAATAGTTACATGTTTAGAGCTAAATATTTCTAATTTATTTTAGAGGGAATTTGAACTTAAATTCTATAAGTTATATATAATATAATATAGGAGAGATCAAAATCTAAGGGGGCCAGGGCCGCTCCAGGCCTAGGAGTGGCTCCGCCACTACTGGCATGGGTTCAACAATTGGATCTAAACTTGCTGGGTGATCTCTTCTACTGTTTTTCTTGGTGATCTTCTTTTCTTTTTATAAACAAAATAAGCAATTAAGAAAAAGATGATGTGGCAGATGACAGGGTTGCTATGAGAGATGACATAACTTGCGTGAAATATATATTGGTATTAATAAGTTGGTGTCCGTAGCATTATTGTTCTGTAACAGAGAAGCTCCCTTCTATCTATATTTATACCTAAGTCGTACCAAAACGTGATTCCTGTGTTATTGGCTGATCCACATAACAAGTTTAATTTATTTGATGCTTCTATTAACTTGTTATTCCACTTTCGCTTTATTACTTTTGCTTATACTTAAGTCGTACCAAACGATTCATGTGTTGTTGGCTGGTCTTATGACAAGTTTAATTTATTTGATGCTTTTTAAATTTGTTATTCTACTTTTGCTTTATTACTTTTTCTTTTTTAAATTTTACAACTTTGGGCTGGTATACGTGTTACTTTGGTACTTTATTTTATTATTATTATTTTTTTCCCAGAACGATGGAAGTTACTTTGTTACTTGATTAAGCAAGGTATGTGATGCTAAAGAAAACAAAAGAAAACGCAAGGTGATATTGGGATTGATATCAAATACTACTCGCTATATATAAAGAAAGCAACGAATTGAATCGAAAAATAATATAGCTAGAGATGGAGGAGTTTTTTATAGGAGACGCACTGAGTTTCGTGCAAAACCCATATAAATGGGCCATGTACGGCGAGTGGGAACCCCTAAAAGACTTCTACAAGGATAATCCAGACGAAGTATTTGGCCAATTGACAACGAACAACGACACTGTACTACATGTCGTAGCCGTTGCCGGACGCAACGACGTGCTTCAGTTTTTAATTGAACTAATAACAGACGCTGAGGACTTAGGCGATGCGTTGACAATCGAGAACAACTATGGCAATACCATTCTGCATGAGGTGGCTGCGTCTGGAAATCTGGAGGCAGCAAAGCTCTTGATGAGCGAGGAGAACAAAGTCAAGGAAAAGGATCCTACATATGAAGGTATGCTAGCGATTCAGAACAGGTTAGGAGAGACCCCACTGTACAGGGCTGCTGCTTTCGGTCACACAAACTTGGTCCAATATTTGGCTTCCCAAGTAAAGCAGCAGCCGCAGCAGCAGCAGCAGCAGGATATAGAGCAGCAGCACCAGGATATTGAGAAACAGCAGGATATAGAGCAGCAGCAGGAGGCGGCTATGGAGGACCATTTCGACAGAGACCATGATAACATGTCCATTCTTCAGATCGCAGTCATTTGCCAACATTTTGGTCTCTCTCTCTCTCTCCTCTTTGACAGTTGCATTATTAGTTATATATGTTAGTTATTTATGAAATATAGCTGTGAATTAAGATTAATTCTTGTCTGAATGTGTGGTTCGAATATATAACCTTGCCAAATAAAATTAGTCTAATATTTTTTTTATTTGACTTTATTATTACTAACACGGTTTTCCTTCAATGCAGAGACTGCTCTTTGGTTACTAAAAGAGTACCCAGATCTTGCGAATAGAAAGGAAAGCAATGGACTCACAAGTCTTCAATTGCTAGCCCAAATGCCATCTGCCTTCGAACCCAAATTTTTCAAAAGCATATGGAAGATGCTCGTTTATAAATGTACCATCTACTCTACTGCTTATACACTACTACTAAAATTAGATATAAACTCACAAATTCAATTTAGGAACAACCCATTTATTATTTTTGAGATCATTTTTGCTTACCACTTTAACTCAAGGTATATCCTTATCACAAAAATAGTGCCCCCTTTATTTATCCAAGGCTTTCTGATGTAATAATGCTGATCTTTGTGCTCCCTTTATTGTTCAGGGATTTGCCCTTCTACTGATGACATGTTGAGCAGGATCGATCAGCCTTCCCAGTCTCGTTGTTCACAGGATATTACAAGTAACTAATCAAACTTTCAAAGTTATATATATATAGAATGTCATCCTTGCATAAAATCTTTAAAACAACTTATTTTGTTATATATATATATATTCTAATATAGTAAATTATGATCATACCTAGTCTAATATATCTACAAAGATGTTCATAACTTAGTATCGATATACCTACCAAATGTATATGTGTTTAGAATGTAATAATAACGCAACTGCAAATATAAAGATTTAGAGAACTAAAAATAAAATAGAACCAATCTAACAGCCAGGTTTGAAATTAGGCCTTACCCAAGAATGACAATCTAAGACTAATTTTGTACAATTGAAGGTTCATTTTCATGCATGTGGATGCATGCTCTTACAGCTTTATTACTTTTCTCCTTCACTTCATAATATTTCTCATGAATATTAATATGGATGCATGTATATAATGATCATAACTTACTAGGATGGCCACGAATCCAAGATATGTTCAATGAAATGAAAAATCACAAATTTCTATCGAGATTCACTCGTTTGCTGGTGGAGAAGGACTATTCATGGGCGGTAAATATAAAACCCGAAGTCAACACATTTACTCTGATATATTCAAAAAAATCAAATGATCCTCCACAAAGGGAAGAAAATGCTCAAATTTCTGATTGTTGTTGCGACGAAGAAACCACTGAATCTACCCTTAAGTATACCCCATTGCTTATAGCAACATGCAAGGGGATATCAAAAATTGTGAAAAAGATATTGGTTTCTCACCCTCAAGCGGTGGAGGCGCACGATCCTGTATCTCAACAAAACATTTTGCACATGGCCATTAAGTATCGTCGGCTGGACATCTTTAACAATCTAGAAAAGAGCAAATCTATTGTGTCAAGGTTGTCTTACAGGATTGATAGTGATGGGAACACCATATTGCACCACGCTGCACTTAAGAGTTCTTACTCTGTAGAAGCTCAACGCATAAGTGGTCCTGCATTTCAATTGCAAGAAGAATTGCGTTGGATGACGGTGAGTGACTTTATATATACACGCCTAATTCCCTAATTTTTTAATAATTATTTTCAAACATTACAAACAGAAGTATATCACTAGACTAATATAGTTATATATTAAGTATGAAATGAAACTAGTTCTAAATATATTGTTTTCTTGAGTTCCATTTGTGGCCAGCGTGTGGGAAAGATAATGCCACGTCATTACGCCATGCACCAGAACACTCAGGGTCTGACAGCGAAGGAGCTCTTCGAATGTGAGCATGAAAAGCTTCTTAAGTCGGCAAAAACATGGATAAAAGGGACGGCTCAGTCGTGCTCGACCGTGGCAGCTTTGGTGGCCACCGTGGCCTATGCAGCCGCCTTTACAGCTCCCGGGGGTAATAATGACAGCGGGGTTCCTGTTCTCAGGAATTCTCCTTTCTTTGCCGCATTCACCGTTTCGGACACTGTCTCGCTCATCTGCTCATTGACTTCTTTGGGCACGTTTCTCTCTATCCTGACGTCCCCATTTGAGTACGAAAACTTTCACCGTTCTCTTCCCTTCAGGCTGCATTTAGGATTCGCCCTTCTCTTCTTCTCGCTGGTAGCCACCATGCTCACCTTCACTGCTACTGTTGTGCTATTGATTCATCATCAAAGGACGTGGACAACGTCCCTCATTTATGTGGTTGCCCTTCTTCCAGTCTCTGTGTTTGGGCTCTCGCAGTTTCCTTTGTATGATGGATTTCGCCAAAGTGTGAAATACATTTCAAAGACAATTAGGGAGATTATATCTAAAACCCTTAAAAAAGAAAAAGGAGGTGGGGAGATTATATCTAAAAAAGAAAAAGGAGGCTGATATATATTATATTAATGAGTGATGATTTGTGAGCTCTATGTTGTAGCTCAAAAGGTCAGAATAAGGGTGTTGCTATAGCTCTCAGTTAAGGTTCCCTTTTCTTCCTTTGTGTGATTGTGTTTTTTTTTCCCTCCTTTTATGTGTATTCCAGAAGAAGTTACATCTTCGAAATAAAGCGTATGCTAAACAGTATGTATTGTTAAAATCTGGAAAATATAGAGAGAACAACAAAGTGATTTTCTGGTTTCTTCAACTTGTTTTCTTTGTATTACTAACAGCTGATTTATACAACTAGTGATGGCTTACATTACTACAAACTACAAACTAATTCCAAGGAGAGAGAGTCTACCATGAAATCAGGTTTTGTGTTTCCCAGCTTTGTGTGCTCTAGGTAGCAGACAACTTTTCCAGGAAATCAGCCCCTAGACTTCTCCAAGGATTGCTAGATGACAGCTAACAGCTAACATATGTATCATGCTTTTTTATGTAATTTTTCCTTTATTTGTATCATGCTTAAAGATATTCTTTTTTTTTTGTTTTTTTTTTGTTTGTAGTTCATCACTCTCCCAGCTCCGAATTAAAGTTTAGATATGATTTCCATTACTTTGACCAATATCATTATTCCAAAATATATTAATAACTTACATAATGCTTGGGCCCTACCTTTTTTTTTATAAGGGAATTAATAGATACAGTAATCAATTATGATTATATCTCTTAATTATATAATATTGATATGTCAACTACATAAAATAAAAAAGTAAATCTCTTAATTAATGAAGGAAATAAATCTATTTGATTAATTATGAAGGCTCACATCAACACTCCTCCTCAAGTTGGTGCATATACGTCACCAATGCCCAACTTGGTAAGTGAATCATAAAATACTATTCCACAAACAGCTTTTGTTAAGACATGTGCCAGTTGATCTTCTGATTTTACGAATGGTAGGCGGATGATCTTATTTTCAATTTTTTCTTTGATGAAATGTTTATCCACCTCAACATGTTTGATTCGATCTTGTTGAACTGGATTATGAGCAATATCGACAGCTGACTTGTTGTCACAATGCAACTTCATTGGATTTTCTAGTATGAAGCCCAATTCAATCATGAGTTTTATGATCTACAATAATTCACAAACTCCTTGAGCCATTCCTTGATACTCTGCTTTTGCACTAGACCGAGAAACCACTTTTTTTTTTACTCCGCCAAGTGACTAGGTTACCTCCCACGAATGTAAAGTAACCAGAAGTAGAGAGTCTATCTATAATAGAACCAGCCCAATCAACATATGTATAAAGTAACTAGAAGTGACTATGCAAGATGAGACTTTTGCACCCTTTGAACATCTAGAATCAGACACACTGATCCTTTCAATATGTCTCTCCTTAAGTCACGAAAAGACAAAGTTCCTCAAGGACTTCAATGGTTAATTCTTATGATTTTTGGTGATAATCATTCTCTCATATTTTTGCCACTTTAATGCATGGTACTGTTATCCCTCTCTTTTTGGTTTCTAACATCTTGTTATTTCTTGGGCATTAAATTAAATTGGTGATTCTTTATGCCTTTATATTAGCTCCCTTGTGTATTTTCCTTGCCCTTTGGATTTCCTAACAAAAAAGAGGGAGAGATGATTGTGTGAAATTATGATAAAAAGGGGGAGAGATTTTGTTGAGGAATTAAGGGGGAGTGGTGTTGTAATTTTGCTTTAAATTACATTTCCTTTCCCACATGCTTTACTGATTTTGTTGTTTCATAATGTGCAGGGATTCAGAGCTTCGAGTTTAGAGTAGGATTTCTTTTGTTAAATCCTATGCAATTTCTTTTGAGTTGTAATAGGTGTTTTGTCTAGGAAATGCCAAAAGAGGAGATTGTTAGTATGCAAATTATATTGGCATTTCCTAGACTCTAGCATAGGTCGAGTATTAGTGTGTGAATATCTTTGACTGGAAGTTTTGGCGCAACACATTCAATCCCGGATTTTCAAAGTATCACTTGATCGATATGAGGAACTTGATTTCAGGTAAATCATGACATAATCATGCATTCATTATAGGATTCCTAACTTGAGTTATTTTCACTCAAGTACTTTTATGTTAGTCCTATTTTTAATAGGATTAGATTTTATCTCTTAAGATTCTTTCCTAATTGGGCACTATTTTTATTTAAGTTAAAATATTATGTTTTCATTATTCTTGACTTGGATAGCATGTTCTCTTAAGAATCAAATCTCATCATTACGAAGAAGTTGATAAACATGAAGAAGTATATTTGAACTTGCCACTTGGGTACTCCATGACAGGGGAGTGAAAGAGGAACATGTGTACAAGTTAAAAAAAAGGCTTTGCATGGGTTGAAACAATCACCTTGGATTGTTTGGAAGAATTAATTTGGCCATGAAGAAATATATGGTTACAATAAGTTGTGTACTTATCTTGAGTTGTGTGTATGCTTATCTTTGCTTAAATCTTCATCTAATTTAACGAAGTTAACTAATAGAACTAAAGTGTTTAAATTAATTTCTATGGAAAGGATCTCGTATTCGCTTGATGTACTATTACATTTTTCGTACACTTGCAATTAAAATTTTGATTAAGTTGGTCTAGAAATTAGGTTCGTAACTTTCACAACAATTTTTTGTAGGAGAGGCTCATAAACTTCCGTTTATGCTCAAAATTCTTCTCTTTGACCTAATTATCCTACAAAACACAATTGAAACCAAACTAATTGGCTCATGTTAAAGAGGACCAAATACATAAACCAATTAAAAGTATGTATATAAAGATGTGTGAATTTATGCACTTATTAATTGTCACGTACGAGTGAGCTTGATGCGTAAAAGAGGAGATATGCTGGGTTGTGGCAGGTGGAGTGTAGACATGAAGGATTGGTGAAAGGAATAGATGCCATACGGAGAATTAATGGAATTGGTGAAAGGAGGAGATGCGATATGGACCAGTGCACAGGAGGGGGAATCACCGATGGGTGGAGAGAAGCTCTGATACCATGGAAAGCTTTTATAAAAGAATATATATGCAGCTCACCTTTCGTAATGGTTACGCATGAATAAGCGGCTCAGCTTTCTGATCAATACAAAAATTTGTTCGAGTGCTTTAAGTTGAGTATATTGTGAGCTAACCAGAATACGTGCAGTAATTAATTAAACAAGATTAAACACACCCTAATCCATTATCTACATTGATTTATTAAATATTTTATATTTTATATATTACATGGTAAGACACATAATTAACTTAGTATCACATAAAATTCCTATGAATTCTTCACACTTTTTGTTGTCTTCATCATGTCTATGTGTATAGTACATACATGTATTATAAAGAGTAAGTCATGAAACGATAAATCTCCAAAATAATTTTGCATGTAGTTATTATGCCAGTCATATAAATATAAAATTAGTTGGTGCTGCTACTGCTCAACGTTGTTCATGATTGAGTGATTTAATCAACTATAGTACATAATAATGATACAACTAAATAATAAATAACATTAAATGAATTAAATAAGAAAATAAAGAAAATTATCTTATAAATTCAAGTAATTAATTAAGGAGGACAAGGTGGGGGTTAATTATCATGAGCAGCATGGCTCTTGCTAATCGAAACAACCACTGCTGCAGAGATACTTGTTCTTGGCAATACTTAAAAGTGCTCCATTATTCTCTTCTTAATTATAATTTATTACATATATGCATACCATCATCTGTCGGCTCATATCATATGCCAACTAGTTATTAAAATAATATTCTGCAACTTAGCTCTTTGGTCGAACGGCAACACCCTTGATAACAAGTCCGCTCTTCCATTTCCCACCAAATTTATACAGCCAAAACTCGATGTTCCCTTGATTTGTGGATGCATTAAACTCACCCAACTTAATATCTTTCCATTGATCTTTACTATCCTTAAACATATCCTCCAAATTAATGGTCCCGTGATTTGTAGTATCTGCGTGAGTTAATTTGAAATTCACTGGAGCATCCCATCCATAAGCTCTAGTTTTCATCTTGGCCACCAACACAACTTCATGAGTTCCTTGCGACAGCTTTGGGTTCTCAAATTTTCCACTCACTTGTAGCCAACATACATTTAACAGTTCAGCAGCTTCAAAGTAGTCACCACTGCAATGAAATCGAAGTTAGGACTGAGATTACTGATAGCATATATATATATATAAATTTTTGTATATGTTATTCCTATAAGTTATGTAAGGAAGTTTTTGTTACCTGTTTTCTGGCTCTTTGACCCATCGCCAGTAACGACGGTCATCAGAACGAGTGATGTTGAGACCCCTTGCATTCACCATTTGGGAATCCGCCATCTCTTCAATGTACGTCTCCCATCCAATGCTTCTTGTTGATTATATAGGTAAAAACAGGGCTAAGTTGGTCATTTCCATGTATGCATATAATCCATATGATTTTGGTATTTACGTGTACGGTGAGGATGAGGGCTTTAGCTTGTGAACCCAACCTGTTAACTTTTTTGTTCTTTGGTTTTCAGTTTCTCATGCATGAATAGCAACCGATGGGTTGGAAAATACTTTTGGAATATCAGAAAAACGCCTTTATTCCATATGCTAAACTTTTGTTTGCTTCACATATAATATTCCATTCTTCACGAAAAGAAATAAAGCTTTTATTCTAAGGTAAGGGAATCACATCCGATATATATATTCCCTTTTTATAAAGTAATATTTGCAAGTAGCCCTTTACTGTTTTGAACGTTTATATTTGAACCTTTACATTTTTTATTTTTCTTTCTTATGCATAATTACATAAGTCCTAGCAAAGCCGGCTCTGATATTTTGAGGGTTCTGGCCGAGTGGCGCTGGCAGGTACTGAAGGGGACATTGATGGAAATTATCGGATGGCGTAAATAATTTATCAAAAACTCAGAGAAAAAAAATATATAAAAGTTGATATAGATCCAAATTCTCATCTAGAAGTTGGGTTTAATCCTCGGATTTGGTGACTTTGATACAAGTCCTTTGACTTTTGTGCCACATAGGATTACATTCCTTTTTGAATATTGTCTGATGTAATCTTTTTATTTTATATATTTAAAATCTTTTTTTTTTTCCAATATTGCCCATTATCTTAGATTACCTTAATGAGATAATTAGCCAATATTATATTTCTTTCCTTATCCAATTTACCCTTGCCCATTATCTTAGATTACTTACCTTAATGAGATAATTAGCCAATATTATATTTCTTTCCTTATCCAATTTACCCTTGCCCATTATCTTAGATTACTTACCTTAATGAGATAATTAGCCAATATTATATTTCTTTCCTTATCCAATTTACCCTTGCCCATTATCTTAGATTACTTACCTTAATGAGATAATTAGCCAATATTATATTTCTTTCCTTATCCAATTTACCCTTGCCCATTATCTTAGATTACTTACCTTAATGAGATAATTAGCCAATATTATATTTCTTTCCTTATCCAATTTACCCTTGCCCATTATCTTAGATTACTTACCTTAATGAGATAATTAGCCAATATTATATTTCTTTCCTTATCCAATTTACCCTTGCCCATTATCTTAGATTACTTACCTTAATGAGATAATTAGCCAATATTATATTTCTTTCCTTATCCAATTTACCCTTGCCCATTATCTTAGATTACTTACCTTAATGAGATAATTAGCCAATATTATATTTCTTTCCTCATCCAACAACTCTTAATGAGGTAATCTTATTATTATTATTTTATGTTGAATATATGCTCAACTTTTAATCAGGTTCAGTTATTTTGTTCTTTTTAGTTGTTCTTTTATGTATAGTATACCGGAGACATAGGTACGTAATACATTTTTTGATATATTTTTCTTCATATATATATCTAAATTATAGGTAACATATTCCTTTAACAAACAAAAAGTTATTAATTGACTTGTGTTTTGACATACATGAGATATAGGTACCACACTTTTTTGCCTTTTTGTTTATGAATCTAAGTTATAGGTAACATACGATTTACCATTTATCTTTTTTATGTACCGGAGATATAGGTAGTTTTCTATTTTTTTATCTGACTTATAGGTAGTTTTCTAATTTATGTTCCTAACTTATAGGTAACATGATTTATCACTAAGTATTTTTCGTTACTAATAATAACACTATTTACTTGTATGTCAGGTATATAATTTAATGTGGGTGCTTGTATTGGTATAATTTGTGGGTCTTTACTTTGTATTGATTAAATTGTATTTTGTCCATATATTAGGAATATTATGAAGGAAAGAATTCAAAATTTAAATTATGGAATTCAATTACAAGGAAATAATGTATTAAATTTAGATTTTCAATGTGTTTTCCTTATTTACCTCAAAGGGTAAAATTGACACAACAAAAAAGTAATAAATGTAAAAGGACCTGCATCTAAAACTAAAACCGCGAGGACTAAACCCAATGATAGCTAATCGTTGTGGACCTAGATCACGATAAACAAACAGTAAATCACAACTATTTTTCTGGCATGGGTCTTCCTAGGTGGTCTCTTTCACTGGCGGACCCTTGAATTGTTCAAGGTAGGGGTAACATTCAAAAGGCTAAAAGTATGTAAGTGAAACTCAAGTGCAAGGAGTCCATGAACCCACCTACATTAGTCGACAAGGCAAAGAGAAACTTTAAATAAATAAACGTGAAATCTGCATAAAACAAAATTAAATTATAAGTTGAGAAACTAAGAAATGACAGATGCCAAATATGGGGGATTAAAGCTCATGGATATTTATTAAATAAAGATACACTATTGCAATTGGTACTTAGGTGAAGGGGGTAAATTAAAACCCCAATGGTGTGAGGTCCCACATCGACCAATGGAGAGTGGGCGATGTGCCTTATATGTACACACCCGCATCCATATAGCACGAGGCCTTTTGGGAGCTCACTGGCTTCGGAGTCGTAAGAACTCCGAAGTTAAGCGAGTTGGGAGTAAGAGCAATCCCAAGATGGGTGACCCACTGGGAAGTTGGTCGTGAGCTCCCAGAAACAAAACCGTGAGGGCTAGAGAGGGGGGCTCAAAGCGGACAATATCATGCTACGGCGGAGCCGATCCGGGATATGACAATTTGGTATCAGAGCCACTCTGCCGTGTGATGCGAGTGTGCCGACGAGGACGTCGGGCTCTTAAGGGGGGTGGATTGTGAGATCCCAAATCGACCAACGGAGAGTGGGTGATGTGCCTTATATGTACACACCCGCATCCATATAGCACGAGGCCTTTTGGGAGCTCACTGGCTTCAGAGTCGTAAGAACTCCGAAATTAAGCGAGTTGGGGGTGAGAGCAATCCCAAGATGGGTGACCCACTGGGAAGTTGGTCGTGAGCTCCCAGAAACAAAACCGTGAGGGCTAGAGAGGGGGGCCCAAAGCGGACAATATCGTGCTACGGCGGAGCCGATCCGGGATGTGACAAATGGATAGATCTAAGACAAAAATGATTAATTGTTCCTAGTAACAATATGACTAGTCAATTACTAGTCATAAACCTATGAACAAACAAGCCCAACACATATTCATCACAAATCAAATATAAGAACCTGCAAGCTTAAAACACAAGTTAATCCATTTTGCACAACCCAACAGATCTTTGAAGGAAATCAATATCGGTTGAGAGAAAAAAACAACTAGTTGCTTCTCAGTATGCACAAATTGCAAGACATTGTTTTCACCAAGATCTCTTATATAAGAAAATGCCTTAAGTCAATTAGTCAAACACCTACAAGATCTCACACATCATGAAGTTTGAATGAACATGATATCCAAAGTACTGTGAGAGATGAATGATGTGCACAAAGTGAAACTATGAGACCAAAATAAAGAAAATAACAAGTAAAATGCACATACATGACAATGTATCTAGACTCCATGAAAATGAACAAAAGGGTTTTGCTCAAAATTCCTAAGCTCAAAACACTTTGGTCTAATGTGTCCTAATGTGCCACAATGATGGCATGTAAGAATGAACCTTTTTGGTTTTAGGAAACCAAATTTTACAATGAAGATTGTTTACCTCTTGTACAAACTCTTGACTTCATAGCCACATACCCTTTACAAGATGACACATGACTCTTAAACTCATTTTCTTTGGTACCTCGAGACTCAATCTAAGAATATCACACCTAGGTCGAATGTGTCCTTTCACACCACAATGGTGACAAGTGGGCACAAATTTGGATTGTGGAGGAGATAACTTTCTCTTAGAAACAATATTCATAGAATCAAAACCCAAGTTGAGATCATGAACCAATTTTGGAGCTTCTTGAGTTGACACATCGTTTACAAAGATTGTCGCAAATGATGAAGGTGTAGAAGACTCATCTATATATCCTAAACCTCTTTTATCACCAAACAATTTTCCCAAATTGAGCGTTTTATCAATCTTTCCAACACCAATGGTTAAACATTGAATCTTTTCTTTTTCCAACTTAACTTCATGTTCCAATCTTATATTTTCAAACTGTAAAGCATCAAAAGATTCAGATTGTTTAACCATGTTGTTTTCAAGTGATTTTACCATCTCAAACAAGTTTTGCAACTCAATATCTTTCTCAAATAACATGCGTTGCAAAATAGAATTTTCAACCACAAAATTATCATGCATGACTACCTTTTCATGCTCAACTAATGACTTGTCAAACTCAAACAAAGTTAGTCTATGAAAAAACAAGGATTTGTCATTTTCAAGCATATTCAACTTCTCGATGAAATCAGAATTTTCTTTTTCAAGAATGCTAACTTTATGATACAATTCATACATGTCAACTTCATTCTCATACAAGATATCACTCAACTTCTTTTTGGTCCTTTTGAGAGTTTCATTCAGTTCATCAAGTTATTTGACCTTTTGTTCCAGCATGTGATTTTGTTCTTTGAAATTACAGGTTTCATTGAAAAGCATATCATACTTTTCTCATAGTTACCTGTATGACTGGTCATCCTACCTATTATCTCTAGACTCATATTCATTTGCTGAATCGGATTCTCCCTCATTAACTACATGAACTCTTGCAAGGCTAGAGTTATGAATAAAAACAGCAAGGGCAAAATGATTTGCCTTTTCATTAGATGAAGTGATATACTTGTTGGAATCATCACTATCACTATCACTCCATTGTGCACTAATTGACTCTTCTCTCCCTTTAGACTCTGTCATGTGGGTATTTGCTCATTCCACATCAATGTGACCAGCACCACCACATACGTAGCATTTTACAAGACCCTTCAAACTTTTATCCTCCATAAAGCCATAAGAATCCAAAAAATTCCTCTCCTCAAGAACAATTGTCTTGAGACACACATGCAGACGAACTAGGAGGATTTTGACAA